TGGTGAAGAACATTGAATTGAAGGAAACCTATGTTGCTTTTATAAATAATGAATCTCTTGGAATGTACATTTTATGAATGCTTTGTGTTTTATTTAGCTAATCAGAAGAGTAATAAATTTGTTCAGCCATATATCACTATGATGACTTATGTTCATTTATGCTAATCAGAAGATTAATAACTTTGCTTTGTGTTTTACGTCCACTTAGGCTCTCCAAAAGAATAAGCATCTTATAATCTTGATGACGTACTTGTTACACTTGGAAAAGTGAGTGTCGCAGTTGAAGGATAGTACAAACTTGTGTTCTACTACCTCGTAAGAATCAAAACTAGAACTATGGAGCAGCATGAATGGAATATGCATGCTATGATGTCGATCCACTTATCGTATTTTTCTTGCAAGGAGCCTAACAAAGTAAAACAGAGTAGGACAAAACAGAGTAGATGTGTGTGCTCATAGTAAAAAAATGGTCTAGACGGTGACTTTAAATGGAGATAAGATACAACGGATTAAGATAGAAATAAAGAATAAGCGGTTTTACAAGAAATAGCCATAAATTAGCTCATATATTTTGGAGTTTTCGTTTTGATAAATTTTAGTTGATCTAATGTAAATGAAGCACGAGTCTTTTAGCAAAAAAAAAAAAAAATTAATGAGCCCAATATACATGGATTATGATGAAATTAGGGAAATGTACAAAAAAAAATTTAAACCCAGAATCACTGTTGCGCAGATTTAGAAAAGTGACGATTTTGCCTCTAACGTATTTGAAAAACCTCGGAGATAACGACAAACAGATTTGGTAGCCAAATCTTTCTCAAGTCAGACTATTTATAGAACCTACCGAAAAAATCATCATTACCTTGATATAGGCGGCCGCATTTAATGCCAAGATTTACCAAATCAAACGTTTCTATACATACAGCTATACATACAAATAAAATATATAGCGATATATGAATGAGAAGCAAGTTGCCGTCTACATAATATAATAACCTTCATTCACTCTTCTTCACCTTTTGCAATAACTTCTTTCGCCATAGCCAAGAAGCACCTGCGAATTAAAAACTTGGCCTCCAACCACGACAGCTTAAAGGTAGAAAAACCCATCTACCGCGGAAGGTTTGTCCCTCGCCCACCTG